CCCCCCCCCCCACCAACTGCCTAAAAGACTTTAACTCTGGCATGGATAGACTGGGAGGGTCCTTGCTAAGCCCATTCCAAGTAAAAGCTGAAGTTATCCTTTGTAAGAGATATTTAGATTTCTAAGGGAAATCTCCATTTGTAAAGGTATCTCCCTCTCTGTACCAGTAAGAAGGTGGGATGACCTTATCTCTAGAAACTCTTATCAGTGCAGAAGGCGAGGACTTAAATCTGCATACTCTTGTTTACTGTGCTTTCTGGTAATCTTCCATAGCTGACTCCGACCCCCACCAACATCCACCTCTGCCTCCCTGAATATGCTATTTAAGGTGAAAACCTCCACCATTTGTAGATACTCAGTTTCCCTGGGTCTCTCCCATGTATACATGTTATAAAGCTTTGTTTGATATGCTCTTGCTATTTGGTCTCATGTCAATTTAATTTGTAGCCCACCCAGAAAGGACCCAGAGTGGGTAGAAGACAGTCTTCCTCCCCTTCAATACTAAACATTTATTTTGTGGCTGTGATTGTTTTTAGGCACTAAGAATACAGAGATGAAAAAGACAAGAGGCCATTCTAGTAGGGGAAGACAAAAAAACCAAGTAGATAAAAATAATTTCAGAGAGTGATAAGTTCTACGAAAGAAAAGAAACAATGATTAAATGTTAACAGAGAAAAGAATTCCAAAGATTTATGAATACAAACATAAATAAACATATCAAAGTCAATCTAATACCTATGAATCTATATAATAAGGAATTTGGATTTATTTAGAATAAACATTTATACAGTATTATGGACTAGGTTATGCAAAATAATTTTACTTAAAAAATTTTTTTAAATGTAGTGGACAAATTTTTCATTAAAAAGCAAATCAAAAAAATCCTATTATGAAGTCAGGGAAACATACAGTATCCAATATCACATATAATTTGAAAATTAATATAAGGCCAAAAAACAGAAAAATTTAGAGAATTAAATATTCAAACAATTAACAAACAAATAAGAACAAAATAAAATATCAATTGTCAACTGTGAACTATACTGCATTTTACTTTGGCTTTATGTTTCTTTTTACTTTTTCCCCTTCCAGGTTTAGGTCTTATTACAATGATTTATAATACCAATGGTTCAGAAGAACTTTTATTTTTAGTTTGATCTTACATGCCGTTGAGGAGGTACTTAGGAATATGAAGATTTGTTTGTATTCATCAGTTTTGGTTTACTAATATATTATTTCTACCTTGTAATAACAAAATATAAGAACAGCTATAAAACTTATTATTGAAATTTCTGAAGAAAATAATTTTGCTTCGCAACTCTAAAACTCTCTTAGCTCCTAACTGCTTTCCCCACTGAAATAACTCTTTATATTTTTTAATATGTCAAGATTTATCAAGAATGCAGGTATCCTTTTAAAGCAGAATGAATTGAAATAATAGAGTAATTTTGTTTGTCTTCTCCTTTCTCTCATTTCCTATCTGATTTTGCTACACTTGACTCACATATAATATTGTAAACGGAGTAATACTTTTTTAAAATCTTAGAACAGTTTTCAAATATTCTTATGTGTTTCGGAAGAAGCAGTTTAATAAAAGTAACTGATATGCTGACATGCTCTAAAGCAAGTTCCCTAAGGAAGTCTGTAGGAGGCAATATTGTAGCCCAGTTGTAATCACTAAACAGTTTCTGAAACAATACAATTACATTTTACATAAGACTTCTGCAACTCAGACTCTTTGCAAATCTATCTTCTAAACGTCTTTCAGATTTATCCACTAATTTAGCCATCATCAACTCTCTCCTGAATATTGCAACAGCTCCCTTACTCCAGTTTTCAATTCATTCCCTTCACTAAAGTCTCAATTTCCAAAGGTCAAAGCCAAATTTGTGATACAGTCATATATGTAATTCTTTATGCATTAAGTAACGTGATACGGTGGCAGTTTAATAAAGACTCTAATTTCAAAGAAGTGATACTTTGAGACACCTACAACATCTGTAATATAATGGGAAAATATCTGAGATTTCTATTGATGATGAAGTCAGTTACTGTTAATGCTACTGTAGGGGCCAGCCCTGTGGCAGAGCAGTTAAGTGCGCGTGCTCCGCTTCGGTGGCCCATGCTTTGCAGGTTTGGATCCTGGGTGCACACCGACGCACCGCTTGTCAAGCCATGCTGTGGTGGCGTCCCATATAAAGTAGAGGAAGATGGGCAAGGATGTTAGCTGAGGGCCAATCTTCCTCAGCAAAAAGAGGAGGATTGGCAACGGATGTTAGCTCAGGGCTAATCTTCCTCACAAAAAAAGAAAAAAAAATACTACTGTAGCTTGTTGCCTACATTCATAATTGAAAAAAATGTTAAATTATAGGTCAATGAAAATAAAAATGTAATCTTTTTCTATCTAAGTTCACAGACACCCTGAATTCTATGTCTGGATTTTTTGGGGTCCGTGAGGGTTAAGAACCCCTACAATGGCTCCTTGCTGTCCTCAAGATAAAAATTTGTTATATGGCTTAAGGGGTGCTTCATGATCTCATTCCCTGCCACCACTCACCCCCGGTTTGAACCTCACCTTCTGCAACTCACATTCTACTGAGTCAAACTCTTACCTGCAGACCTCTGCAATGCTCTTCCCTTTGCCTGCAAAATTCTTCCCATTCCCTTTGCTCAGCAAACTCCCAATCATCTTACAGGTGTCAGTTTATATATCATTGCTTCAGGAAACCAAGATTGTGTTAGGTGCTCTTTCAGTGTGCTCCCATAGCACCTAGCACTTACTATCCTATCACAGCATTTACCACGCTGTATTAAAACTGCCCTCCCCCATTAAACTGTAAGCACTTGAACTGTGTGTGTCTCGGATGCCCACTTCTTGCATACTGCCTGGCACAGAGCAGGCACTTTGATAACTGTAGAAGGCAGAAGGGAAATTCCAATTTACTGGCGGTTTCATGACCTTGAATTTTACCCTTAATTCCCGATTGACCCTCACAAATGCAAGCTGTTGGTCACAATGGGAACCAGAAAAGTGCAGGGTTCAATTAATATAAATTAATTATTTTTACCAGAAAAATCACTTAGTGTGATGATTGAAAATGAAGGACATTATCACTATTATTACAAATCCATATCAGAAAGATTTTACCATCTTGCAATATTAAGTCAAATAACTATACTAATACATAAAATAAAATTGTATGAAGAGATAGTATGTATCTCAGTAATTCTCAACTACGCACACATGACTTCGTGGTGGTGGTGGTGGTGGAGGGATTAACACGCCCTCTCTTAGGGAAGTGTTATCAGAATCAATGAGGTGGAGGTAGGGTTTTCAAACTACGGGCCTCTCAATTCCTGCTGTATTCAGCCACTGCTGCTGAGAGGAATGTGTGGTCATCTTCAAGTCCACTGTAGTGGTAAAAGGATGAGAACCACTGTCTTAAATTGGTCCAACAGCAGATCAAGCAAATGCTGAGTCAACAGACCTTGCAAAAAAAATTAATAAAATAGTTTCTGTATTATTTTACCTAGGCTGAAAGTACCAAAGGTTGGGGGGAGGAGTGGGAGCTGGGGAGAATTCAAAATACTACACTGGTGTAAATTTTTTAGTGTCACATCAGGAGTTTAAACCACAAACAAACTAGAAGTGCGCCAGAAAAAAGCAATGAGACAGATGAACTGAAACCACAATCTACAAATTGCTGAGGGGGTAAAATTGAAGTCATGTTCTGGGGACAGGGAATGAACCACTTTGATTGGGAGGTGTTTCTGAGTAGTGATAGGTCAGAGTGTTACTACAGAGGGCTCTGAATGACCAAATTAAAAAACGTGGATTTTACTCTAGGCAGAATGAGGCACTCATGGTTTCTGAAGAAGGGTACATTATGTGGTTAAAGTGGTACTCTTGGGGAGATTAACCTAAGGGTCCTAAACATGAATTAAGGGGTTGAGAACAGAGGCAAAAAAACCAATGATGAATAGTAAATTTAATTGCTTGACACAACATTAACTAACAAAAATGCCATGAAATACTAAAGACAGATCCTTCCACTTGTGACCAGAAATGGTATGAGGATGGGGGAAGAGTTACTGCACGTATTACCTACGTAGCATCTTCATTTAATACAATGAAAAATATCATTTGTTAACACCTAATTTTAATTCACAAGGCCTGTTTTCCTCTCTTTTGTTGTATCTGATGGTTCCTTTAGTTTTTCATTAGAAAGGCATAATGTAAATCTAACAAACAAGAAAAGAATAAGATACTACTATTAATTTTCAAAAAAAATTCACACAAAAAACATTAAAATTAAAATGTCCATGAAATATTTTAAAAGTAGTACTCTTTTTCAAATTTTCAAATCTTTTATGTGACAATTTTCTATTGAACTAGGAAACTTGACCTTTACGTTGAACACACGGAGGTTTCAGAAGAAACATCTTTTGCTTAGTACTTGCAGTCCACTGAAGCATTAAGCTTTAGGATCATCTAATAACGTTCCTTACAGTTGATCACAAAATCCGGAAATTATCAGCCGGTTAATTTTATGGTTGACATTTTTATGATAAAAAAAAAATGTTATCTATTAGGACTTCACCATGCTATGTAAAAGCTATGTCCAGTGGAGTGACTGGACACACACTCCACGCAGACCTGAGAGCCTCCACTCACCAGGGAGGGCGGGAGGAGGGCCAGGGGTAGTGAGAAACGTGCACACTAGGAGCGCTGAACTCAGACACACCCACACTCATCACCCCGAAGTCTGCGTCGCCGGTTTTCCGTTCCGCAGGGTTCTCCCAGGAGAGGCTGCCTCTCCCGTCACTGGCCTCGAGTGTGCTCGCGGGCGTGGTAGGGGTTGAGGCGAGCAACGAGCACCTGTCGGGGGTCTTCAGCGCGGTGCCCTCACCCTGGCTCTGAAGGACCGCCGGCTCCCGACCCCTCCCCATACCGGGCGTCTGAGACTGGCTGGGGCTAGCGGAAAGGGCCCGGCCGGTACCTGGGCGAAGACGGTGAGGCTGCCCTCGGGCGCCGCGACATTCACTCGGCCGTGGTACCATGCCACTCCTGCTCCTGCCAGGGCCACGCCGGCCACTGCCGCCGCCACGGGACCGGGGCGCAAGGCCCGCCGGCCGGCAGCGACTCCGCGACGCAGTCTTGCGCCCCAGGCCGCCAGCCGAGCGCCCGTGGCCGCAACAGCCGCCATCTTTGCGGAAGCGCCCCATGGCAGCGCTGCGCTCCGCCGCGGCCCACGACCCGAGCGTTCCCGCGCGGCCGCGGGTCTCGCGAGACCCGGGCGGCCTTCGCCCCGCCTCCCAAACCTGCGTCTTGTGTCCGAATGGCTGGCGAAGCTCGGAGGGTGGGAGGGGATCTCGGTTCAGGGAACGCCTTCTACTGCAGGGTGAATGGGACAACTGCAAAAGGGTCCGAACACAACCCAGACACGCTCCCCAATCAAATACAAGATAGACCCCCTGTTGTGTAGGAAGGTTGCACCGTTTGCGTAAGGGCGGTGTGTCATCCAGAGGAAAGCACCAGCGGGTGAGCTAGGCAACTCTGGTAATAATTGTGGTAAATTGTGTAGATTGCCTGTCGGATGGGTATGATCTTAAGAGTGGAATCTCATCTCTGAAGTGGCGGGGGCGTGGAACTGAAAAATTCTGTATATTCCTGAAAACTAGATTTGCCCTAAAGTCCACAAGCCTACCTATATTAAGAATTTCTTACAACTATTTATATCATGTTATTCACAAATGTACGTAAGCTGCAGATACTGTCTCACAGACCGTTTAAAAGAATATCAGTTAACTCGCCCAGCCTCTAGTAAACAACCCTTGTTAAAAAATGTATGTTCTCCTTGTCTCACTTTAACAGCTAAGCAAACTTTTTTTTAATTTATTTTTTAATTATGGTAAGATATACATAACGCTAACATTTTTAACCATTTTTAAGTGTACGGTTCAGTGGCATTAAGTACGTTCCTTCACACTGTGCAACCATCGCCACGGTCCATCTCCAGAATTTTTTTTATCTTGCAAAACTGGCAAACAAACAAAAAAATGTCTTCCCTCTCTGTCTTGTTCATCCTTCCTATTCTCATATTCTTGACTGCTCTTTCGTTTTTGTTAAATTATATTCTATCCCAGCCTTCTAATTTTGATGAAGTATTTTCTTATGACCTCCCAGATAAAGCCACTCTATTTCAGGCAATCATTATTTGCTGAATGTTGAATTTAAACTCTGTTCTGATAAAGTGTTCGATTGTATCTATTATCCTATCTGGGACCAAGTCCGATGCAGCAGCACACCTACCCCATGTCTCTATCATCAGGGACCCAGATGTTTAACCTAGCACAGGCTTGAAACAGTAGTACCTCAGTCCTGGTTGTTTCATTGGTCGTAAGAAATTATTTAGCTGAGGCAGATGACTTCCCTTTATTTTGTAGCCTCTGATTCTCCATTCTTTGGTCTTTACTTTTCAGAGTAAATTTACTTACTAAACTTTGTTAAGCCTCTGAAATGTCCCTGGCCGTTTGAAGCTTTACTTGGGCATGCAGTCTGTAACTTAGAGCCAAAGTCAAAGTGCCAAGAGCCCTGGTCATATAATCACTGCCATCTTCAAGTTTTGTAAAACAAACAAAAAAACCAAAAACAAACAAGTGCCACACTAAATCCAATTTGACCACTTAATTCCGTGGATCATTTTGTCATGATCCTCCCTGAGTTTCTTTCTTTTTTTTTTTTTCTGAGGAAGCTCAGCCCTGAGCTAACATCCATGCCAATCCTCCTCTTTTTGCTGAGGAAGATTGGCCCTGGGCTAACATCTGTGCCCATCTTCCTCCACTTTATGTGGGACGCCGCCACAGCATGGCTTGACAAGCGGTGCATCAGTGTGCGCCCATGATCTGAACCCGGGCGGCCAGCAGCAGAGCACGCGCACTTAACCACTACGCCATGGGGCTGGCACCCGCCCTGAGTTCTTGCTCTCTCTCTATCTTTTTTTTTTGTGTGAAGAAGACCAGCCCTGAGCTAACATCTGTTGCCAATCCTCCTCTTTTTGCTGAGGAAGATTGGCCCTGGGCTAACATCATTGCCCATCTTCCTCTACTTTATATGGGACGCCACCACAGCATGGCTTGACAAGTGGTGCCTCAGTGCGAGCCTGGGATCCGAACCTGCGAACCCCTGACTGCTGCAGCAGAGCATGCGCACTTAACCGCTATGCCACCGGCTGGCTGTTGCTCTCTTTTTCTTAGCCAGCTTGTCTAAATTAATCTGCAGTCAGAGCTGCCTCACTTTTTCCCCAGCTGCTGAAATCACTTTCATGTGCCTTCCCAGGCAGGAAGTAAGTAAATGAGTCTCATTGTGCCCAAATTTGTGAGCCAGACCACAGAGTTTGAATCCTGGCTCTACCAGGATGATCACAGTGATTTGGGGCAAATTGCTTAATCTCTCTGAATCTCAGTTTTCTCGACTGTAAACAACTCTCTCGTGGCTTGGGGTTGGTGGACTAAATGAAACATTCTATAGGAGGTGACTAGCCTACATGCCTGGCACGTGGTAGACTCTCCCCAGATGTCAGTTTACCTTCTTGAGAAGATTTTCTTACCCTTGCATTCTGATCACAAATGAGCCTGACTGAATGTCCGTGATTCCAGATCACTAGCCTGTCTAACCTGAGATTTTTCTGCTCTTTCGTATCTAGCTTGACCTCTGGTCTGTTTTTCACCTCTAACTCTGGTAGCTCTTGGCATATGTCCTACTTTTCTGGATTATTGACATCTAGCTTGTTTCTGTCCCCTGATGATTGCAGGATTTCTAGGATATGTTTGGACATCCTGGCTGTCCTACCTTGTAGCTTATTCTTGATTTCCAGAAACCACTGTTAAAATGGTAGTGTTATGTATATTCATACTGCCTAATTCACACAGTTCCTCTACCCATTTAGTGAAACCTTCCATCTATTACTTAGTCATAGCCCCAAGCCCCAAATAGGTGCATATTACTATTAGAGCATTTGGCATATTTAAAAATGTATTTGTCCCTTAGTCTGATATCCTCGTGGCCCAGGATATCTTATTTTTCTGTTTCTTCAATGCCTAGCACAATGCCCAGCATGTATTAAACATTCAATGAATGAATATATGAATAAGTGAATAAATGGCACAAATAAAACTCTGGAGTATCAATTTCCGTTCTTTGGTCACCAAACATACAGAAATATATTATTCCTTTAGTGTAATTTATTTTCCAAGACAAAAACCTCATTTTAGATTATTTTCTTTTGCTGAAAATCTTTGAACGTACTTGGAAAACTGTGCTTTGTGATTAGTTTTCTTGTGTTATGTGCCCAGGTCTCTAGAACTCATTAAGATTTAATATATTCAAACTTTTCTTTTGCAGAGGAAACAAATTCTTTTAGTAGAACCAATCTCTAGCTGCCTAACCATTCTAAGAATGAAATCTTCCCTGGCAGCTGCTGACATTTGTCTAAACACATTGACTACATTGGTCTTTTTAGGCTCCAGCTTTGTTCATTTCTTCATCACCAGCTGTAGAGAAAGTCCTTGGCTGGGATGTATTTTCAACCATGCAGTTTATAAGCCAATTCCCAAATAAGGAACTGCTTCTAAGGCTATAAGATCTATGCTGTTTTAAATGGTAATTGGAGAAAAACAGAATAGAAACACTGATTGTTCATTCTTAATTCTTAATTCACTTAATCACTCAATTCACTTAATATTAATCATTCTTAATTCACTTATTCTGTGCTCATTTTCTCTAGGAGGGACAAAAGTTATATGGCAGAAAAACTGTTCTCAAGGGGCTTTACCTTCACTGGAGAGACGAAACCTGAATTTCAAAACAATGCAAGATGACATTTAACAATTGTGCCATACAGAGGAGGAAAGAGTGTGGTGGGCTGGAGCAGTCAGAAAGGCATCTAGGGAAAAGAGGAAGCTTGATCTGGAACTTGGAAAGTAAGAGACGTTGGATAGGTAGAATCCTCCAACACTGGAATCCTCCAACACCTCAACCCTATTGTAGGGTTGAGAGGACCGGAGAGAACCAGATACGGTGTGTGTTTACGTGGCGTGGAGCAGAAGGGCTGGTTTAGGGCTGTCCTTGAGTGGCTTTAGGGCCATAAGAGAGTCATGTAGTAATTCCACCAATAAATGGAACACTTGTCAGCTCTCTTGACCCTCTACATGTTTGTCTTTGGAATATTCATGCCTCCTTTCTGGCACCCCCACCCACCTTGTGCCTGATCTCCTCCTCTGCATCTCAGACACTCTACCCAGGGATTGTCTTCTGCCTGTCCAGATTTTATCCTGGCCTTTCTTGCCCACTATCCCATGGGCTCCTCTAAATTATCTTCCTTCCTACCTACAACCAAAATTGTTTTTCTCTGGATTGCTGGTCTTGGACAAAAGAGAGAACTAGCTTTTCTTATCGAAGATATTTACTCTGTTGTATTTCCATTCTAAAAGACTAAGTTTTAACTCAAATGCATCTTTGATCTTAGTATGTGTGGGGGAAGATAAACAAAAATTGCTATCCTGATTCTGAAAGATTATTTACTGTAGTATTACAGAACAAGGTGTATTAAGATTGATTATCTTAGGTGGAGGAGAAGAAATATGGAGTCTCTCAAAAGATAAATTAGAGGTTGGACTCAATCCTAAAGTAATGGAGTAAACGACATATGAATGGACATTATTAAAGAACCATTGCTTGAAATAGACAGAGGTTAAACTATATTTATGGTGGATAATTGTGTAGCAGAGGGTATGAGTCACTCTCAGAGGCCCTAGATGAGTCAAAAGAATTGCTAATTATGTCTTTTCTGTGCAGTTTGGGGCCATGGGTAAAAATATCTGGGTATCATGATTGATACCAGCATGTGTAGAAATAGGTAAAGATTAAATCTTACTGACAGTGAAAAAGCAGTGCCAAGAGTTGCATTTTTAATGTCTTTCAGATCCTCCTCTGCTTCTCATTCCCTTCCCATCATCCCTGTTTACGGTCTCATTACTGCATGCTTTGATGATTGCAGTCGTCTCTTAACACGTCCTGTTGATTCTAGTCTTTTTCTTCTCTGAAGCATCCCATAGATCTATGTCAGATCAATCTTCCTAAAACATTTCTTTCACCATACTTCCATTAGCTGTGTAATTTAACCTTCCTAAACCTCTGTCTCCTTGTTGGAGAATGAGGAGATTGGTTTCAGTTTATTTTT